ATCAATATTCATGGAAGCAGCAGCCAAGATATCAAATAACATATTGCATTAGGCAAATCTGCTGCACAAGACTTCTTTAAAGTGTTGAAGAGCAAAGATGTCAGTTTGAGGACTAAGATGTACCTGACCCAGGCATGGTACTTTCAATAACCTCTTATGCATGTGAAAGCTGGACAGTGAATAAGTAAGACCATAGAAGAAGTGATAAATTCAGTTATAGTGTTGGAGGAGAATCTTAAAAGTACCATGGACTGCTAGAAGAACAAACAAATACAACCAAAATGTTATTAGAAGCCAGGATAGTGTGGCCTGGTCTCTCTTACTTTGTACATATTGTCAGGAGGGACCATTCCCTGGAGGAGGATATCATGCTTGGAAAAGTGGAGGGTCAGCCCAAATGAGGAAGACCCCCAAAAAGATGGATTAGCTCAGTGGCAGCAGCAACAGGCTCAAGCTTAACAAGGATTATGAGGATGATGTAGGATGGGGCTTTGTCTCGTTCTGCTGTGCAAAGGGCTGCTATGAGTTGGAACCAACTCGATGGCATCTAATAACAATATCCAGGGAAGCCTAACAAAGATACATGTGACTCTATAAAGGGAGGTTTCAGAAGTTCAAGCCAACCTACATACTGGGGAAGACTAATGCCTAGACACATGGAGATCTTCAAGCAACACCAGCCTACAGATGCTGACAGGAGACAGAGCCACAGCGAGAGAAAGCCTTCCCCTAGAGTTGGCACTCAGAATTCGGACTTCTAGCCTCTTAAACTATGACAGAATACATTTATTGTTACAGCCATCCACATGTACTTCTGTTAACTAGATAACTAAGATATCATAGAAAGTCTTGTTTAATATATAAATCTACGATGCCAGGCATATGATTAATTTTAAAGACATATCTACATTATATAGAATGACTTTGAAGACTAGAACTAAATACCTCAATCACTCCTTCTTCATCTCCAAATGCAATGTACTGAAGATGTGGACTTAAGCAACAGCAACTAACTTGAGCTTCAACCAGATAATCAGTCAGACCTGTTTTCCCATTGATGAGCTAATGAAAAATAAGGTACATGAGTTATTAAACTGTGAGAGCATTTTTATTCTTTATAACAGAGACTTCAATTGAAAAAACTAAACTAAAACCCAGAAAAGTGACCAATAAGAGCTCCAAGGAAACAACAAAACCCTATCCTATTCTCAGCAGCTACATTCAGCACTTCATGCTTTTACTGCATTTTACTTTTGTGGTTCAAATACATTTTCATAAAATAAAACAAACTTTAAAAGGTTTCAAAAGCAGCTGCTTGTGCCTGCCATCTGAGACACATCTGTCTGATTTGTAATCCTACAGACACTGCTCCACACCTTGTTTTCCATTTCTTCACAAAGTCCAATTTAATAGGACTATCGTTTGTTAAAATACACTGCTGATATTTTTCAAGTGGGTTGGTGAAACAGGACAAAACCAACATAAGTTAAGACTCTCTTTTTCTTCTTCTTCTGAGGGTGGGAGAATATCGCAGAAGTGGTCATAAGCATAATTAGGATTGCTGAATTTATAATGCTCAAGACTCCTGGTGTGGCACTGGACTGAGAACCACAAGGTTGGCAGTTCAAATCCACCAGCTGCTCCCCGGTAACCCTATACAGGGTAGCTATGAATTGGAACTGCCTAGACAGCACATAACAACAATAAGCTAAAATTGGATTCCTGGTGTGGTGCTGTAGGATAAGCACTGGATTGCTAACCATAAAGTCAGCAGTTCAAACCCACCAGCCACTCCTTGGACACCCTACACAGGGTCGCTATGAGTCAGAACTGACTCGATGGCACTTAGTAACAACTGATGCAGCTTACATCAATTTCAGATCTCTCTCCATAACTCAATATCACAACCAAAAAGCTTGAATTAATTTCCAACATGAAATAAGCAAGCACATTTGTTTCAGGTATAAAAATTATAGGGTCAATCGATCACAAGGGGCTTTTCCTTGACAACATTTACCCAGCATGTTCTGATTTAGTAGACCATCAAATGGAAGACTGAACTACTAAAAGCAACTAGCCTGTTTCTCTCAAAAGTACCTTTGTAAAATAGAGGCTAAAAATTATTTTGTTCATGTAAATGGCATTATTATTTGGCAGCTTACCTATCTCCTAAACTCTTCTAAACCAGTGACAGAATAAAGTGACACTTTTATCTCATATGACTGTTTTTTTTAAGTCTTGCCATTATGTTGTTGTTGTTAAGTACTGTGGAGTCGGTTCCGACTCATAGCGACACTGCATAGGGTTTCCGAGGCTGTAAATCTTTATGGGAGCAGAACGCCTCATCTTTCTCCCACGGAACCGCTGGTAGTTTCGAACTGCTGACCTCGAGGTTAGCAGCCCAATTCGTAACCACTATGCTACCAGAGACAGGCTGCACAAATTTAATAAAAGAAATATAAGAATGAAGATACTCAACTTGGCAAGAAAACTGCTGTGGAAAATATCCCAAGTAGAAGAATCAGTCTTCTAAAAACAACTGGACCTCCCAATCAACAAATAGAAACTTACAAAATATAAAACAAGTTATGTTTGGGGTGTCATACAGCTTGACTCTGACCACACAGTAGAGAAAGAGGGATTCCCCCACAACATAGACAATTTACTCTCAGATATCTTTCTACTGAATTTGGATTCTGTCTTAACGTTATATCCAGTACACAGGCTGCTGAAGGCAAAAAGAAACTTCCAGGTTAAAAATGACAACAACTGAGGCTCAGACAAGTGATGCAATTTACTCAACATCACAGACGTGATTGTTGGTCAAGCCCAAACCTGACCCCGGGAGTCCTATGTGAATAGTCACTGTTTTCTCCCCACTTAAGCTGAGCTTTGCAGCCTTAGAACTATCTGCCAGTCTGCCTCAAGGAGCTGCTATCTCTCATTCCATTCATGTGCATTCGCTGTCTCTTTCGTCTTCTCCTCTCTTCTGCTTCTCTTGTCTCTCAGCTCCTTTCTACTATCTCACTCTTGCTCCCTATCTTTCAATACCAATTCAGAAAAAAACAAATGCTAAGACTGCATAGGTGTCCTGGTATAACACTATAGGATAAGCACCGGACTGTTAATCACAAGGTTAGTAGTTCAAACCCACCAGCCAACAAGCTACTCCTTGGAAATCCTATACAGGGTCTCTGCATATACCTGAGCCTCAGTCTCTGCATATACCAAGACCCATATTATTTATTTACTAATATCTACTTGGTATGCCTGTAAGATAGCATGTGTGATCCCAAGTCCAAAGCAAATAGGAAAACTGTGAATTGTGAGTTCAATCAATAATAAGTTTTTCCAACAGTTTTCTAACAATACTCACCTGTAGATGTTTTAGATTGTCAGCTGCAAGAACCATCAGTTCACTCTCCTGAAACACAACATCAACTTCTTGCTTTAACACTACAGCAGAGTTCTTACATACTTTCTTTGTCTCCCAGAGCTGTTTAAGAAATAAAGATACTATAAAAAGGTAACTGCAATTTATCAGCCCACTTTCTGAAAAGACAAATCTTAGTTTTAAAGCAAGACACAAACCATGCTCACAATCAAAACGCTAGATATTTCTCAATTATTCTATTAGAATCAATTCAGTAAATATCTATTAACACATTTGATAGTAAGAAGCAGTAAAGATGAAAGAGTTACATTACAGGCTCTGGAGTCCAAGTATCTCAGGATCCTAGTTCTACCTAAAGCTGTGACCTTGAGCAGGTTACTTAACCCAATGCTACTGAAAGCTACAGAGCTGCTTCTGCTTCTCAAACTAGCTGACATTGGTCCAAACCAAGATAAGGAGCCTGTGCCCGAATGTAAATCATCTACATCTCCACACTGTTAACAGTATGATTAATGGTGTTGATCTTTTTAAAAACTAAGACTTTCTTGATGAAGAAAGCAGTGTGTTGATTTACATTATGACTGAAATTCACTGAGAATGACACTTCAAGTAGAACTTACTTAACCTTTCTGTACCTGTTTCCTCAGCTATCAAAAGGATTATTAGTAAATGAATACACATACAGTATTTGCACCAATGTCTGACATACATTAAGTAATAAATAAATTTTAGCTATGATTTGTATAAAACACTATGGGATGTTCCAGGATTTAAGTGTGAACATGTTGGAACAATAAAGCTAAGGATTAAATCAAAGCTGTATTAAATTCAAGGTAGTATTTGATGATCACCATAAGATAATGAGAGTTATATGGCATTAAAGGAGAGAGACACTAAGACATTACCCCAAATGGACTATTAGGTAAGGCTTCATAGAAAACTTGATGGGCCTTGCAGGATCATTAGGATTTCAACAAAGAGAGCTACAAGCAAGAAGGGTATTTGGAACATTAAACACATAAGCAAAGGTACACAGGAACTCTAGGGTGTTTCGGAAATGTGAACAGTCTAGTATAAGTTATCTAGAAGAGAAGGAAGCCTTACTATGGAGAAGTTTAAATGGTGGACTCTGGAGCAGCCACTTACTTTTGGAGGCAATGGTCATTATCTGAGGAAAATAACATGATTCTGGTGTATATTAGGAAAATATCTTGGAAGCAGAACGTAGTTAACAGGGACCCCCCCAAAAAAAAAAACTTGTGGCAGAGAGTACAGCAACAGAAGAACCAGGTACTGATGAGGCCTGAACACAGGCAGCAAGGGAGAGATCAATGGTAGAATCTATTAGAAATGGCAAGTAATGGGATATGAGAATTCAAAGTAAAGAAAGAGTCAAAAGTTACTAGAAATAGTAAAAAATTATCTTCACGAATCACATGTAATATATTTAAATTTATCTCAAAATGCATTTTAATCATCAGCTTTAGCTTTCTCCAGCACTTAGACTATGGTAAGATTTAACAAACTGTTATGTTCTATATAGTAATATTTGTCCAGGTGAACAGGAACATGTTATTTCATGTTTTAATTCCCTCAAAACTGCCCTTCAATTTCTTAGTTTGTAGGAGATTTAACACACTATTAGTAAAATGGTTACAATGAAAAACTCAGTATTTCTCACCCTGATTGTCTGGTCATCAGAAGATGTCAAAAACGATGTTCCATCAGGAGAAAACATCACAGAATGAACCCAACTTAAATGTCCTCTGCAGTCTGTTACTTTTAAACATGAGTCTATATTCCACAACTACAGAATAAACACAATACATAGGAGATCACATTCAAAAGCATTTTGAAAATAGCAAGAATGACTTAGCAATACCCACATACTATGGAGATATTGCAAGTTCAGTTCCAGACCACTGCGTTCATACAGAGAATATTCACAACAAAGCGAGTCACACAACTTTTTTGGTCTCTCAGTACTTATAAGAGTTATGTTTACTGTGGTCTATTAGGTGTCCTAGTATAGGCTAAGCATTGTAGGATAAGCACTGGACTGCTAACCACTGGTAAGCAATTCAAACCCACCAGCTGCTCCTTGGTAACCTTATACAGTATGGCTGCAAGTTGGAACCAACTCAATATCACTTAACAATAACAATGTAGTCTATTAAGCATGCAATAGCATTATTTAAAAAATCGTTAAGAATTATCAAAATGTGACACAGACACAAAGTGAGCACATGCTGTTGGAAAAGTGACATCGAAAGATTTGCTCAATGCAGTGTTGACACACACCTTCAGCTTATCTGCAAAACGCAATAAAACAAGGTATACCACCTCTAGGAATACAGTTCAAAAGAGACACTAGAACAAGATACAAAATGACTAAAACAGAAGATTGCTCATTTTATCACTGTTTTAATATCAAAAAAATAAACAATCAACAAGGAACTGTCTGAATAAACTATGTAATCACCATTACTACTATGTGGTTACATAATAAGATACCAGGCAGTCATGAAAAGGAATGAGGAAAATCTTTATACATTAAAAGTTAATCTCTCAAATATATTAAACAGGAAAAAAAAAAAAAAACCCAAAGAGCAGAATGATATATATACTATTACTACTTTTTATATAAGAAGCTCTGGTAGTATAGTAGTTACGAATAGGGCTGCTAAACTCAGGGTCAGCAGTTCGAATCTACCTGCTGTTCTGCGGGAGAAAGATGAGGCTTTCTGCTCCCGTAAAGATTTACAGCCTCAAAATCCTATACAGGGTCGCTATGAGTCGGAACTGACTCCACGGCACATAAGTGTGAAGTTGTAGGATAAGTACTGAACTGCTAACTGCAAAGATGACTGTTCAAGCTCACCAGTTATTCCTAGGAAACCCTATACAGGGTTGCTGTGAGTTATAAATGACTTGATGGCACTTAACAACAACAATGGAGTCCTGGTGTGGCACTGTGGGTTAATGTGCTAGACTGCAAAGTCGGTTAGAAGCACAAGGTTGGCAGTTCAAATTCACTAGCCGCTCCTCAAAAAACTTATACAGGGTCACTATGGATCTGAATCAACTCAACAGCACTTAACAACAACAACCTTTCATAAAAGAGATGGAAATACAAATATGTGAATGTAATATGGATACAGACATAGATCAATGCATCTATATCTATATATAAACATGTTCTTAAGTACTGCCAAGTCAGTTCCAAGTCATAGTGACCCTGTACAGGGTTTCCAAGAAGTGGCTGGTGTGGTTGAACCATCAACCTGGTAGCTGTATTTTGTGGTTAGCAGTCCAAAGCTTATCCTACAGTGCCACACCAGGACTCCATACAAATGTATCAACATTTGTTTATATGTGCAAAAATAAAGAGTAGAAGGTTAAACCTAACAGAAAGGAAGAAAAAGAGTGGAAGGAAGGGGATAGAGCTAAAAGGGAGACTTCTTTAAATGCAAAGGACTTCAAAGAGTTTGTGAAAAAAATTCCATTCTCTCTTTTTTTTAATTCCATTATCATTTAATTCAATGTTTCCATGAACTTTTTGAAGCCCTTTCATTTGACTTATTACAGTCTGGACTTTGGTATCATGTAAATAATTTACCTAGTTTAAAAGACCTATCCAAAAAAATAACAGAATAAACATATACTGCTTTCATATTCAGACTATTGTCCACCAATAAATGTCATCTACACCTTATTTAGGAGCCCTAGACTGTACAGTCGGTTTGAACCACAAGATCAATGGTTGAAGCTCACCAGCTGCTCGTTGGAAACCCTTCACATAGTCTCTATGGGTCGGCATTTAACACCAACAGCAGCAATCCTTAGTTCAGGAAAACTGATGAGGCCCCTACGAGATAAGTGCTGAGCTGCTAACCACAAGACTAGCAGTTCAAACCCACCAGCCACTCCTAGGAAACTCTATACAGGGTTGCTATGAGTCACAACCGACTCAGCAGCACCTAACAACAGCAACAAATCCTTACTTCAAATGACTGAAAAACCCTACGGTAAATGAAGGCACTAATTGTATCATGTACACAGTTCTCTTTCCTATTTGTGCTTATTACAAATTGTCAAAGTCTGCCACCAGCCAGACTATATTTTGTCCTAGATTCTGCTGCAAATTACACAAATGTATTCTGGTCTAATGAAGTACCATATGGGCCTGAGTTCCTCTCATTACACTCTGAATTACAGACCTACTTTATGAAAAAAAAAAGAAAAACACAAGTACTTTTTCATATGACCAATGATTTTCAGTCAGTGAAATCTAGGATTAAAACTAATTATATGAAATTTTATCTTCTTTATCTCTGGAGTCCAAACTGGGGCACAGAGATCAAATGGCCAGGCATGAAATGGTTCACAACCGGAAAACATCCCTTGAATATCCTTTCTTTTCTTCCCCGTTATTCTTTCCACTTCGCTTCCATCTTTGTGACTCAGAGCTTCCAAAATGGTGCCCCAGTTTCTGCACTCAGACTGCTAACAGAAAGTTCAAGTTCACTCAGAAGTGTCTCAGAAAAAAAGTCCTAGATTTCTACCTCTGAACAATCAGCCAATGAAAACCGTTGAGTCAGAACTGACTCAATAACAACTAGTTTCGGAGTCCCTACATGGCATAAAAAGGAGCTCTGGGAGCATAGTGGTTACCAATCGGGCTGCTACTCACAGGGTCTGCAGTTCGAAACTACCAGCTGTTCCACGAGAGAAAGATGAGGTTTTCTGCTCCCATAAAGATTTACAGCCTTAGAAACCCTGTAAAGGGTTGCTATGAGTGGGAACTGATTCCACGGCACATAACAACAACAACAACATGGCATAAAAAGTTGAACTTACTACCAGAAAGTTTGGCAATTCATATCTACTCACCTTGAAGAGAGGTCTAGTGATCTACTTCAGAAAAACCAGCCACTGAAAAGCCTACTCTGATAAACACAGGGTTGCCGTAAGTCAGAATTGATTCGACGGCAACTGGTTTTTGGTGCCCTTCAAAAAGACAGACATTATTTCTCGGAACTTTCTAAGGATAACAGAAGCTAAGAATTTTAGAACAGACAGGAAAGGCTGGGGCAGAGTAATGAGGGAGTTGCTCCTTCAGTCCTCTCAAAAATCCTGATAAACTTGAGGATTCATGTGAAAGGTTTCAAGATCTAGCCGACTTGAATCTTCCAAGTCACTACCCCACAGCTCCTAACTTACTCCCACCATTCTGACCAGCACTGGAGCTTTTCTAAACTCACTACCTCTGCTTCCAATAGGAAGTTCTTTAGTATTGCAGTGTCTTCTGTGTTTAGAATTAGGAGGGGGCTAAAGAGTGCAAGCCCTCATTCTCGTTTTACCTGTACTTCCATGTGAAATGCTACTTAGCTCACTATGCCTCCCCCACCTTTGCAGTAAGGGGCAAGGTTGGCAAAGTCACTAAAACTACCTGAAATAAACACAAAGCACCAAGTAATAGTTCTAGTAGTCAAAGTTTGCTTGAGGAGGGGGTTCTACAGACCAAGTAAATCTCCCTATTTTCCAGATAAAAATTCACAACCATCTTCTTAGAATTGTAATCTCAAGGGGAAATCAAATTACCTGGTGGAAAGACCCACTCAAATTACCTGGAGTCCTGGTGTGGTGCTGCAGGATAAGCATTGGACTGTCAGCCACAAGGTCAGAAGTTCAAACCCACCAACTGCTCCTTGGAAACCCTATACAGGGTTGCTATGAATAGGAACTTACCTGACAACAACAACAACATGACCCCCTCAAAGAGCAAGGAGTAAGTAAGCTTGGGAAATCTGTTCATCTTTATAAAGAAAAAATATCGGGAATTCATTGCTTTTTTAACAAATTAGAATAGTAATTCATTGGGCAAAATTCTTCCAGGAAAAGATGACATATAAAATCTTATCAATTAATAAATAAGTTATTTTAAAGTAATTTTATTCCTAAGTGCTGGCCAATGAACATCCTACATAAATTTCCATTTTATCCTTTCCAATAATCTAAGAAATCTGGACTGAATTAATATCTCATCATTTCTTTTTCTTCTAGAGTTTTATATATGTATCCCTATTGCCTTTTTTCCTGCATGGTTTCTGCTGAGAAATCCGACCTGAATCTGACTTGCTTGCCTTTGTATGTTACACTTCTCTTTTTCCTAGCTACTTTCAGGATTACCTCCTTGTCTTGGATTTTGGAGAGCTTGATTATTATATGTCTTGGTGATTTTCTTTTGGGGTCTACCCTTCCTGGGGTTCGTTGAGCTTCTTGAATGCTTATCTTTTTGGTTTTCAGTATGTTAGGGAAATTTTCTTCCAGGAGCACTTAACTATCTCCTAAGTGGAACTGTGTGATTCTTCCTGTTCTGGAATGCCAATAATCCTTAAGTTATTCCTCTTCATATTGTCCAATATGAATCTTAGACTTTCTTTAGATTTTTTTTATCCCTTTTCCTGCTTGTTCTTCTACCTTAGCAGTATTGAGAGACTTGTCTTCCAGCTCACTAGTTCTGGTTTCCATCTCTTCAAATCTACTCCTTTGTCATTTCAGTGTATTATCCATTTCTGATATTTTATTATTAATCATTTGGACCTCTTTTTGTTGGCTGAATTGTTTCCAATGCTGTATCTATCTTATTTTATTGTTCTTGTAGGGCTTTCCTGACTTCTTCCTTATTTTTCTCAACTCCTCTGTAGATCATTTGGATGTACCTCATTACCATTCTTCTGAATTCCTTCTCAGGCATTTCCAAAGCCTGCCCTCCTTCCAATGTGAGTCTAGATCTATCTCCTGCTCATCTGTCCTAGTCACTCTATCTTGTTTCTGGACATGTGCCGATATGGTCATCTCTTTCTTGGGCATCTTCAATAGTTAGCCATGACCTCAATAATTAGAGGAATGTATACTGATGTTTTATTATACTTTCTGATTGCCTCCAGGTAGATGTGATCAGGAGATGGGCATCCCTTTTCACTCTTCTTTAATACTCAACTGAGAGTAACTGTAGCACATATTGGCTGCCTACCTGGTGTACAGCAACTGGTACTGGCTCTTGCCTGGATGACAGGGTTTTATACAGTGTGATTGCAGCTTGACTATATGACTGCAATTGCTGTCTCTTCTTGGGTAATGTAGGGAAAGAAAGAGCCCCCTAGAGGTAAAAAGGGGACTTAAAAAACAAATCAGTAACAGCGGGGGAAAAAAACCACAGATTGGATACTAAAAGAGACAAGGGAAAAAAAAATTCTGTAGCAAACTATGAGTATGACTTTAATGTCCCTCTCTCGGGTTCTTGCCTTCAAGGCCGCCTTAGAAATTTCAAGATGTCACTGTTGGTCTTTATGATGTAATATAGGATTTAATTTTCAGCTTGTTTCCTTTTTAATCTGTGTCTCTCCTGCTCCACAACCCCCATTCAGGCTTTTTTCCTAGTGATTAAGAGTTCAGGGCTGGCTGTGGCGGTTTTGCGCTGCCGTTTGATTTTAAGCGGGGCCTTTCCCTTTAAGTTCTGCTAAGTAGATCTGTGCACAAGTGTAATAGAACCCTCAGGGGGTGAGGGGGTGACCACTCATTTAGACACACACACACCCCCATTAATGAATGGAGGTGCGCAGACAGCAAGGGACCAATGAACAGAGACAAAAAAAAACAAAAGAATGTCCACACCTTTATCTCTGAGGATTGGTCAAGCGTCCAAGGGGCTCTGACACCCCCCACCTCCCTATACTCCCCCATCCCCTCTCCATCTCATCCAAGATGGTTGCTCTGGGAGCCACTGAGGCTGGCCAATCAAAAAAACACCAGTTTTCTTGCTTCCGCTACAAATTTCACTGGCTGTAAGCCTTCAAACTTTCTAAATATCCCTTTATATGTAGTTCAGAGTTCTGGGACCTGTCCCTGAACCTGCTTTGTCCAGTATTCTGTGTTACTGCTGCCGGAGGTTTGCGCCACACATCTGTCTAATCCACCATTAAGCCCCACCCTCTCATCATGTCTTTTCCAGAAGTCTCTGCCTTTACTATTTAAGAGATGTCATGCTGCTGGTCTCAGAAACCAGTGGTCATTCTGCTGCTTTCTCCCTAGACCCCAGCATATGCTAGGCATTCATTAACTGCTTAATGACTAGTACTGTCATTCCCTATGATACTGTCAATTCTTCAATCACTGGCTGCATAGATTGATATAGTTCTTTAGGCTATGCAGAAAATATGCTATAATTTCTCAAAAGATGCATCCTTAGTAGTTAATGGCTTAGGCCGTCTATTTTTTGTCATCCTTGTATCTCTGAAGACCCAGACATCATAGAACAAATCTGTTTACTCACCTCCACACAATATTGGGATAAAGCCACCACTGCCAAATTATTACAGTGAGAGAAGTCACAATACTGGATGGTACTATGATGTCCTGTATGAATTTCTGCCAACAGGTCATTGGTATCAGTGTCAAAAAGCTGTCAATATAAAATATGGAGATATCTATAAAAGTAAAATATTCTAAAGCATAAACTATATCAAAGCTGATTCTGAACTTATTTTTAAAACACTCTCCTCTGATTCCAAATGTAAATTATGTGCTTTTAACAAATACTTCAATTACTGATAACTGGCAGAATTCCCAATAGTGATAAATAAGACCACAATCAACATACATACACTTTTAAAGCACTGCTCACCTTGAACCATATTTTTTATAAAGGAAAAGTCACCATAGGTAATCTCTGAAGATGGCCCAGAGAGAATTAAAACTTTGTGAATAAATGAATGAACTAGTAAAATTAACAGAGGACATTGCCCTCTACGTTATTTATTCAAAAGAGAATATGCATACTTAATAAATGAAGATGATCAAAATAACATAGAGCAGAGGCTTGGCTAAAATGAAATTAGCTCATTCATTTCTCTCTCTCTCCAGAGCTACCAAATGACACCACTACAATCAATCATTTTCTCATTTTTTAATTTTTAAAAAATGCTCAAAGATTTTTAAATGATGAATACATTCTTTTGAAATGTTTCCCATTTGTACCATTATATAGCTTATCCATTTAAGATCAAGTCATACAGGAAGACACAAAAAGCTTCCAGTGGGAGTCATCAAGGTATTTAGTAAATCACAGCCCTGAAAGCATAGACAGATGGCAAGGAGCATAGATAGGGTGGCTGTCAGGAGGCCAGGTGGGGATGGAGGGGAACCACGAAAGACAGGAAATCACAGTTCAAATGCTTCCCACAACGGGTCATTCTTAAAAATCAGTGACTAAAAGTAAGAGAGAAAACCTGGCAAATGCTGAATAAACAATCATACCAACTATTTGGGTAGCAAATAGAAAAGACCTAACTAACAATGGTGTGGCGCTGTAAGATGAGGATTGGGCTGCTAACCCCAAGGTTGGTAGTTCAAACTCACCAGCTGCTTGCTCCTTGGAAACCCTATACAGGGTCGCTATGAGTCGGAACCAACTCGAAGGTACTTAACAACAACAATTAACAATAGGGTAGGCTAATAACACAAAAGAGTTGGAAATCAATAAAAGAATAAGAAAGGAATGACTGGAGTAAGAAACGGAATCAGCATGTAGGTAAGAATGATCTCAGGGTAGCTATTCTAACATGATAAAAGAGGACTCTTAAAATTGCACAGGGTTGCTAAGAGACAGAACCAACTCAATGGCACCTAACAACAAAATTGGAAGGTTTTTTCATATAATACAAAATTATTTTTCTCTCTCATTACAAGTATTTTAAAACCTCAGATACTGCAAATGCAGTCGGGTTTTTTCTGTTCTTACAGAGCTCTGGTAGCGTAGTGGTTACGAATCAGGCTAAGAACCACAAGGTCAGCAGTTCGAAACTACCAGCTGTTCCGCGGGGAAAGATGAGGCGTTCTGCTCCCGTATAGATTTAAAGCCTCAGAAACCCTGTACAGGGTCGCTATGAGTTGGAACCGACTCCATGGCACATAAACACCACCACAGATTTTAACAAAATTAAGACAAAAGGAAACATTCTTTTCTTTTAATTTCCTGCTCAAGAGGAACCAAAGTCCAAGGTCAAAGCTAACAGATGAATAGCAATCACATATGCAGTCTCTCAGTGAGTTTTCATGTAACTATATTATATTATATGTTTCTATTATATTCTTCAAAACAGTATATCCCTTATTCAACTCTTTTAAAACTGCTATTACAAGAGCATGTCACTGAGCCATTTGGAAAAGTTATTTGGCTGCTCTGAGCCACAGTGTTCTCACTATGGTCAGAGGGCTATCATAATCTGCTGTGTCCCTTAGATTATGCATTCAAAGGGAAACACCTATGAGAGGACTCCGACCACCACAACTGTCCGCCATTATGAGATCTGAAAATGACATTTCTTTGTCATAGACTTTTTCGGTCATCAGTGACCTCATTAAAATCTTACAATCCACACCAGTCCTGGTGCCTACTCCAATCCTGCAGAGCCAGTGCTGGACCAGCCCTCTGAGAGAAGCAACTAACGGACATGTGGGGTTTAAAAAGAAAAGGGGTGATCTGTACTGACTGGCCAGGCACAGTGCAGCCATCTTGAAGTTTAGTGGGTAGTTTTGAAGGCAGAGGGTGGTTAGTAACACATAGGCAACTTATTGGCAGAGAAAAAGATGCAAATTTTTTTTCTTGTCCCCCACATTACCCTGGTGACCAGCCCTCACCTGTGTACAATCCAGTGAGGATCCTGCTCTCCGGGTCTGGCACCTGCCTCGATTTTTAACTTTCTTTGCTTATTCTTTCTTCTCCTTCTTCCTCTCTTTACCTACCTTGCTTTTTATCCTTTCTATCTCTGCTTTCATTCTTTCTTTTTTTCTGCTTTTTTCCCAACCACTGCTGTTTCTTTCTTTTTCTTGTTTCCACTTTCCTTCTCTTGGTTTTCCTTGACATCTCTGATCTTTCCCTACTGTGCTTAGTTCTTTTTCTTTTCTCTATTTTTCTCTTCCATGTTTTATTTCCTCCCTGTTTTCTCATTTTGCTTTTTGTATTCTTTTTGAAGCTGTTGCCTGCTTTTTTTCCCCCTCTCTCTTTGCTATTTTATTTTCTCATTGTTGTTTGCTTGTTTGTTTTTCTTCTCCTTTGTGCGTGTGTTTTCTCTTCTTGCCTCATCCAACAAGGGAAAGAGACTGTACATACAGCCCAGCCACAACCATACCCAATGCAGCCCCCATCCACTGGGCAAGACACAATACCAGTAGCTTAGCCATGATTAACAACAATAATTGACATCACCCAAACCTTTCTTCATCTGAGCTACACAAACAGTGAACAGACAATGGTGCACACGTTTCCAACCCCTAATCACACCAACAAAGAGGCAGTTAGTGAGTACCTAAGAATACACCAACAGATAATCAACAATTTAATACAAATACATTACTACAAGGTCTTGGAAGCAACCATTTCTGTCCACATGAAGACCAAAACAGAGTGATTTAAACAAGTGATCAAGAGGAAGAGCTATGTTGAGGAAAACAAGAGATTGGAACTGCCTGAAAAAGAATTCAAGAGAATGATATTTAGGTGCCTCCAAATGATTGACAAAAAGATGGAGGAAAACTAAGAAAAATTCAGGAACACAGTATAGGAATTCACAAACAAAACAGATAGAAAATCGGAGACAATACAATAAAACTTACAAATAGAAATCCAGAAGATTAATACTAAGATTTCATAAAAGGACAATATATTGAAAAGGTAAAGGTGTAGCTCTGAATCAATGGAAGCCTGAATTAGTGAACTTGAAGATAAATCTCTAAATACTTGTAAGCTAGAAGATCAATCAGAAAAAAGAATGAACACATCCAAAGAAATCTAAGATTCATGTGGGACAACATAAAGAGAACTAACTTACGGGTGGTCAGAATTCCAGAACAGGAAGAAACAAAGAAAAGGTAGTTGAAGAACTTTAAGAAGAAAACTTCCCTAACCTCATGAAAGACCAGAAGATACATTCAAGAAGCTGAACAAACCCCAAAGAGGATAGCGCCCAAAAGAAAATCACCAGAACTGTACTCCAGACCGTCTAACAAGATGGCGGATTACACAGATGCACTACATGGACCTTCTACAAAGAAGAACCAGAGACCAAATGAAACTGATTCAGATGAAAATCCTGGAACCCTGAACTTCACCAGAAAGGTTAGAGACGTAGACTGAATGTTTGCTGGGAGGCGGAGATGAGCAGAGAATGGCAAGCGAGGAAGACTGACTGGTGAATGACCAGCCAGACATGGCACAATCATCTTGTGAGCAGCTTTGGCAACAGAATGTGCCCTAGCACAGCAGATTCACACAGACAACAGGAAAGATGCAATTCCTTCTTTTCCCCAATGCTTCCCTAGTGACCAGAGGTGTAGCCAGCTTCCATGCTCATCAACCCCCAGCACAGACCCTGCTCTCCAGGAGTTCAGAGGCACATGGTTAGGAGCCACACCAGTTGAGGCGGGGACCAGCTGTACTGCTTTGGTGTCTGGGTTCAAACAGGCTAAGTTTCAGACCTACAGAACCTGTAGAGCCACCAGAACAGCATTTAACCAGTTACTCTGCTCCCTCTGCCCTGTGGTACTAACAGACACCAGCTCCACTGAGGACGTCCACGAACTACTTCTGAACTGAGTGCACTGAACATAGTTAACAGTGAGGTTGCTAGGAACTCTATTCAGGGTTGTCACAGCCCTCCCATGCCCACCTAGTGAACTCCTTGGGCTGTAGGAGTTCCCCCAGAGTTTTCTCCTCTCCAGCTCCAACAGCTGTGCTGTTTTGTTTTGCCATTTAAGGGGCTGGTTTTTTGACCTTTAATTGTTTTATTGTTTTTATTTACTCTTTCTCCTCCTTCTTCTCTTTCCATTCCCTTGAATTTTATCCTGTGTCCAGTTGTTTTTTCTTCTTTTCCCATTTCCCCTCTTCCTTTTATCCCTTTTGATCTTTCTTTATTACATTCGACTCTCTCTTTTCACCTTCCCTCTCTCTATTTTTCTAAGTGTTCTTATTTCCTCATTTTACCTCCTCTCATATTTTTCTCTTCTATGGCTCATTTTCCTGTTCCTCTTCTCTTCTTTCAGTAATTCCTAAGTGTTTTTATGATTTATTCCTTTTATTTTCTCTCTTATTCTTCTCTTCTATAGCTCCATTTCCCTGTACTTGTTTTGTCTTTATAGTTATTAAATTCTTTTTTTCTGGTTGCTGCCTGTTTTTATTTATTTTTTCTCTTTATTATTTTCTCTTTTCATTGTTGGTTCCTTGTTTATTTATTCTCTTTTTTTTTCCTTGTGTGTGTGTATGTGTAAGGGGTGTCCTCTTTCCTATCCAACAGGAGACAGCAATTGTGGCCCCATAGCCCGGCTATAACTGTATCCTACGTAACTCCACCCACTGGGTAAAAGCCAATGTCAGCTCCCATACCACCTGACCAATGATAGACAGCT